GTTTTTCACACACGTGAAGACGCCATCTACGAGAGCCTCGATCCAATCAGGAGTGACCAGGACACAACCTACTCGACACTCTTACACACGCACACGATTCACAAGGGGATTCAAGAGTGATTACAGTTATCGGTGAAAAACGGATGTTTTATAAAGTTTTATACCCACGTGTATGATCACACGTCTTATAAAAATAAATAAATAAATAGAAGCTACATGGAGGTCATGGTCAACCTGAGTTTGTGTTTGGGACACATGAGGAAGTGATATTCCTAAATACAACTTGGTCCACAGAAATGATCCAACACCCTCGTGAGCTTCAGCGCACCTGTTGGCACATTATGGAGTAATAGTGAGTTTGTGATTGGCCTCCTGTAACAAACACACTGGTGTGTGTACCTTCTGTGAAATGCGACTCTTACCTCACACTGAAATCGTTCCTTCTCTTACTGTGATTTTTTTACATTTACTATGTTTATTTTTATTTTACTACTTTGTCCAGATTCTAAGCTTTGTTTCATGTTTTGATATTTTGAGTAGTATTACGTTCATTTTTATTTGATTTTATTATTTTAGTCTTAAGTCACCTTGACAAGGCTTCACATGCTGTCATTCATTACCCTGTATAATAAAAACTGTTGATTTAAAATCAAATTTCATTGACAGAAACAAACTGATTCTGAACTCGTCAGACAAAACAAATCAGCAAGTGACTCATATACAAGCAGGAAGGAGCGCACTGTCCTCAAAGACTAACACGCTCTTGTCTACGACGGTGTAAACGTGTAAGATGAAAAATGATTGAAAAATATCAAATATCAATGCTAAAATGTAAAAAAGCTTTAAAGTGAAATTGCATTTAACTGAATATTAAGCTCAATGCTTTTTCTAGAGTATTTAATGTGGTATTAGTGTCTCTTGGGGCGTCACAGAGGGGAACTCTAACACCCACCTCAGCTCAAACATGTGAAAGGTGCTTCCACATCCACCCAGCAGGTGTCACTGTTGACCAATAATTTCCTCCTGACTTGTTCAGCATTTGGTGTGCGTCTCTTATACACGCTCTAAAACTACATCCGTTACTTTATTATGAATTTTACAGCATTTATAATATTTACAGCTTCTACAAAATGTGGATTTCAGGTTTTATTGTGATGGATGTGACGTGTGACGTCCACACTGTGAAAGTGTTCGCTTGGTTCGACAGAATATGATTTTCTTCACTTCCTGCACACATTCAGGTCCTTTGATAGAAGCACAAAGCTGACTGTGATCCTTTATTATCATATTTGGAAAACGGACCAGAACAACTGGGTACAGAGACCCAAAGGGTCATTAACAATTTAACAAAAACAACCGCAGAGAATAAAAAGTGGAACAAACTGGAGTTGTTTTGTGTCTCTTTCATCGTGGTGTCTCATAGATGTTTGATTTATATTTAACTGTAACTGAGGCTCCTAACAGTCACACAGAACATGGTGTTAATTAGGAAGCAGAGCAGCTAAAGCTAGGCTAGTCTTTTTAGTCACATCTTGATGATGTCACTGACCTCTATCTTCCTGCTTTTGTTTCACAAGAAAGACGATCTGACTGTGGACGCGTCAAACACAAAGAGCTGTTCCCTAAATGGGCATTATTACCTCTGATAGGACCCAAAAGATCCAAAATGAGCATCACTCGACCTGCTGATCAATATTTTTCGTAATATATCCACAGACAGTATGAAGTACTGAGCACACTGATGCGGAGCTGCAGACTCCTTCTACACAACCACACTGCAGTGACAAAGTGACAAAGGCTTTAATTTCTTGGTGGAAACTAAAAGAAATTCAAACATGTCAGCAAAACTCTTTTACCTGTTTTTTCCTTAATCTTAGCAGCATTACTTCTTTAAGATTCATTACTAAAGTAACTAAATTTCTGTCAGCTGATAAATTAAAACAAACAGATGTCCAAATATATCAAAGAAAGCAGGAAACACGTTTTATTTCTCATCTGCCTTTTTATTTTAACACTTTCACACCTTTCACTGCTAAAAATGTACTTTACAGCACTTTAAGAATGACATCCAATAATAGTCCAGTACATCATTTTCATGCATTCTCTGTTGAACACCTGCACAGCGTCCAGCACAACGACGGACCTGCAGCTCGCTCCTGCAGGATAAACAACACAATCTATAAAATTTATAAAATTTTAACAACAATATGAGACTCAACATTTAACATATATCAACCGTCAACATGAATAAACTGTTTACAAAAGTTAGAACTTTAAAAGGTTTTCTGAGAAAGCGATTTACAAATGATGATCAGAAGACGGGTGTTGTGTAACGTAACCGTGACAGCACAGATCACACAGCAGCTAGTAGTAGTATTGTAATCATATTTTACTCAGTATCAGTGATGTCACTTCCTTCCTGGCGGTGTTGTCGCTGCTTCACTCGTGGCGCCGAGGAGTTCATGAAGGACCAAAACCTTTCAGATCCATCAATCTTTACAGTTTTTACTGTTTGTTTTTTATCATTTTGTAATCATTTCATTCATATAGTTTGTTTTTAAATGAATGACTTTATTTATTTTTTATGTATAAAGTTTTGGAATTTTCACTCCTATTTCTTTCCAAACTGATTTGTTTTGAATGAACAACAATACGTTTGGATAGATAAGTAGGCATGTCATATATCATACAGGGATAAATGTTGCTCATCCAATTGATGGTGGCAGGAATATTGTTCCTATTCGAGGGTCCACGGGGTCAGAAGCAGAGTCCACCCTGAACTGGCTGCCAGTTTATCACAGAGAGCTCTCACACCTGCGACCAGTGTGGAGGACAGACACAGCAAACATGAGGCTGACGGGGGGGTCCAACCTAGAATCTGCTTCATGTTCAGTAGCAACACGGACAGAAAGAAATAATGAATGTGAAAGAAAACGTTCATGTTTTCCTTCCTTTATTTGTGATGTTTTCAGTTTCAATCCTCCATAAACGTCCATTCTTCTGGCCTTTTTTTCTCTTAAAATTACACTTATAGTCATTTTTTCTTGATGGAAAAGTCTTAGCATGAGCACGACTTTGCTATTCACAGAAGAATTTGTAATTAACAGCGATGTGACTGTGCACCTGGGGAAGGACCAGGAGATCAAACCTGTGCTTTTTTTCAGACTGTCACAGCCGAGGCCAGAACAGGACGTTTCTGTTTCCTTTCGAGGCTCATGCGTCCTCACGTGTATCTCTAATGAGTTTGAAGTGACGTCAGAAAGTGAAGAGGATTGTTAGCTTCTTTCTCTGTTTGCACTCATCTCTGTTCTTTCCTTTTCATGCTCGGAGGATTCCTCCTGTGAGGCCAAATGTTTCTGTTTTAAGTCTCTTCTCTTCTTATCCACCTTTGTTTATAATTCTTTAAGTTTCTCTCTTTCTGGTGTGTTCACGTTTTTAACTCCACAAAAAAAGAGCGTTGAGCTTCTAGGTCCACACTGTGTGTTTCCATGGTCTCCTTGTTGAGGTCACACAGTAGTGACAGACAGCAGAGGGTTGTAAATTTTCTTTCCATCCGGTGACCTCGAGCCGTGAGCCAGCAGCTCCTGGATGGTGATCCAGTTGTCGAGAATGCGACGATTCCTCCTCTTTGTGATTTTCTTCTGGCTCAGCTGCAGGATGTTGCTGCTGGGAGAGTTATGCTGCACATTAATCTGGAGGCTCTGGGATAAATGGGGCTCTTCAGCGCCCCCTGTTGATGACAAAAGATCCCTGAAAATAAAAAGACTGTGATCAGTGCCTTCACGAACTTCACGTAATGAAGTAAATGTGTCATTTTCCTTCTTTTTCTCTATTTTGTTTTTGTGTAAACACTTTTTTAAGCCACTTGTGTACTGCACGATTGAGTCCTGTGGCTCTCACCAGTAGGTGGGAGCTGTTAAAATAAAAAAATAAAAAACTCAACATGCAGACACCTCAAACTTCTTTCTTTTCATACAACTGCACACATGAAGTTACTGTTTGAAGGGAATCCTGAGGAACTCGTCGGAGGGTCGGAGCCACAGATACGACCTTTCAGCGCATAACAAAGTTACGCAACATTTAAAGCTACATATAAAATCAAAAAGCTGCACTGCAGTGTAATATCAGTATGTGTGTAATAGTACAATATGAATTATTCAGCGTGTTCATTACGTGTCCTCCTGTAATCTGCCGTCACTCATCAGTTGAGCACCGTGAGATGGACCAATGAAGTCAGACCTGTGATTTAAAAACACTGATTTGCAGCACCAGTGTCTCTATAATTATTTTGCGTAACGGGTTATTTACTTTGAAGGTATGTGAGGTTTCCGCTCTTCGCTCCTGACCTCTGACCCTTTAAAGGTCTGTGCTGACAGGATTTCACAGGTGATCTCAAGGATCTCGGGTCTGTAATGGTTCACTGACCCACAAAGAATTCACCGTTTTAGTGTCTGTATTTACAGAAAACCACAATGGCCATTTGACTGATGGCACACCACAACGTTTTAAACATTAGTCAAAAGTAAATGTGTCATTTCACCACCATCATTTCTTCCGACAGACAACAGTTGAAAAGACTTCTGACAGTGATGAACTTCCTACTCTGAGGATAAATGTGGCACCTTTTATGTTTGCATCTGTAATAATGACTGAACTTCTGGGGTGTCGTTGTAGATTTCGCCCCGTACCTGTCTCCTCTCATGTAGTCCAGGCGGCTCTGCATCATGAACTCTCTTCTTCTTCTGTACTCTCGAGCTCTCAGCAGCTGCTGCTTCCTCTCCTCTTTGCTCCAGTATCGACCCTGTGCAGAGGACAGAAACCAGTTTAAAGCTGGTTTAATGAGACTTTGTCATGTTTATTGGGCTCAGAAGCAAAATATAAGGGCTTAAGTACTTCTGTTTTATGTAAACTAGGATTTAATGACAGTTGAAAACGATGTCACAGCATGTTTGTGGCGATGAATCGAGATTTGCTCGTCAGAAAACAAGTAACGGCACATACTGGACATACTTTTGGTTTGAATCTCAGCTCTTTTAGTCCAACGACATGTTGTCATTAATGTTTGCACACTCTACCTGTTTCATTTCACTGGCAGCGTCATCGTCTGTCGTCATGCCGCTGCGTTCCTCGCGGATCTTCATGGCTCTGGCCTTCAGCAGACGATCTCTGACCGGCCGCTTGGCCACATAACGAGTCCCATCGCTGCGAATCTTTACCTGGACACGAAAAGAACACCTAGCATCTCATGTCAACGGAAGACCAGACATTTAAAGTTTCAGCTCTCTTTGAAATGTTTCTGTTGCTGCATGCTGCTGCTGGATCTCCTGCTTTTCTTCAGCCTCGAGTCTTTAAGCTGAATGTAGAAAGTTTATTTTTTATTGATTACGTAGCTCCAGTAGCTCAGTTGTCTTTAGCTGAAAATCATGTAAATCACTTGACATCATTTTCAGTGCTTTACAGTAGTGAACCATGTTAAACTGGGCCACAGAGGCTTCTGTATCATTTTGATGAACAACTAATTTCTTTTTTAAATTTTTTTGAATGTCCCGTCCAGCACTGTAGCAATCAAGTAGACCGTTACAGCTTTTGCTATACTGGTCCACTTGACTGACATATTTTATTATTATTGTTATTATTTATTTTTATTGTTTTCATTTGGACTTATTACAATTAGAACAGAGAAGACAGGGGGAGGAGAGGTTGGGAAGAGAGTTAACAGAAGGAGAGCAAAAGAAAAATAGAGGAGAAGAAGGATGGAGAGAGAACAGACACTGACAACCTGCTTGATCACCTGCTGAGAGGGAAAAAAGAAACCACCAAAAAGAATAAAAACACAGCAGGGAAATAATTAATCTCTTTCCTGGTGATCATAATCAAAAAGAACAATCTTGTAGCTGTTATTAAGGCCAGAGGGTTTTCTCAGACATCAAATGATGTCCAGCCTTGTAGGAGAGGAACCTGTGATGAGTCCCTTGAGATGCTGGACTGGTCATTTTGCAGCTACTCCACCAGTTTATTCTTTTCCCTTCAGTGCTATTGCACCGTTTACCTTCCACTCCATGCGCTGTGGAGACGCGTTTGGTGATGAGTGAGTCAGTCCAAGAGGTAAGGCCAGTCCTAACCGTGAGGCACCTGCACGGTGGTCCTCCAGGCCACAGGGGGCGCTGTTCACACTCCTGGGGCTTGCCGGCCCACTGCTGCCTGTGGCTACCCCCCTCTCCTCCCCGTCTGCCCTGCCGCTGTCTCTCACTCGGTCCAGAGGGTCCACCAGACCCTCGGAGGGCAGGGTCATGCAGCTCTGATAGCGCTCTAACGGTTTGCTGTGTCTGTGCTGCCTCCGGGTGAAATAGGGGCTCGACTCTGCACTTCCACCTTCAGGCCTGTAGGGGGCTCCACCTGCAGTCATAGAAGTGATAGAAATGATCATCAAAAACCAGAAAGAAGTTTTACACGTTACCCACAAACATCAGTTTAAAGGAAAGTGTTCTTTAGCTCATATGCTTGTTTCTTCATTATAAACCTGTGGAAAGGCTCTTAAAATGACCCCGATATGCTTACAGAGAAAGATTATACCTGCTCTGGAGCTCCGCCCTCCATCAGCCATACCCCTCCTAGAAGCTGACCCCGTTTCTCTGGTCAGAGATCTGATGAAGGCGAAATACATCAAAATATCCACTATTATTAAAACATATCACAAAGGTCAATATGCATATGAAAATAGAAAGAACGCTCATTGCAGCAAAACCAACACCTGAACTTTGAAGGCGTAGAGGGGGTGGAGCTTGAGCCGTTTGCAAAGTTTCCATTGGAGGTTTCGTACTTCCTGTAGGTGCTCGGGGAGAAGGAGCAGCTGAGGTTTGAGTGACGCCGCTCTCTGTCTCGGTCCCTCCTGTGACGTCGAGGCGTGAGGGGGGAGTTTAGAGGGGGGAGGCGACTGAGGGGGAGGAGCGGAGGTGGAGAGGTCAGGCGTCTGCCTCCTTCATCTTCATCCTCCTGAAGAGGCGGGATCTGCTCGGTGCTGACCAATGGCGTGCTCCGGCAGCTTTCCCCTCCGGTGTTGTAGGCACTGGTGCTGTCTTTGTCATCCGATCGCTCGCGCTCCGGGAGTTCGTTGATGGCTGACAACTCGTGGTGATGAGGATCGTCATTATCCTCGTTATGCAAATCTATAAGTTCAGAAATAGAAATAAATGAACTGTTAAAAATCCAAACTGCTTTGCTTTGTCTAATGACACCAAAGTAAACTGGATACATAAATGATGGCTTCATGATCACAGTTTTTTTTTCCTAGTATAATTCTGTGTCATAATTCACATGTTTCCTAAAGACGTCCGGATGTTATATGTTTCCTACCCTGGTGCTGGTTGTTACCTCCTTCAGAGGGTCCTGGTCGGCCCGCTCCACCTGCCACCGTCTCCTCCTCCATCATCCAGGCTTTCAGACATCTCTCCCTGAGCTGCTGCATCTTTTGCGCTCGGAGAATGTTGCGGCACTTAAACTCCAGGTGGCGCAGCTCCTCCTCGATCAACGCCAACTCGTGCTCACTTGGCATCTCTTTGCTGTTCACGTCCACTACCGATTCAGAAGCTGTGCCTTCAGCTTCCTCTGCTGCCTCGTCCCCCTCCTCTCGGCCTTTAACTTCTGCTTCAGTGGTTTCCTTTTCCAGCTCTCTCCGGCGTCTTTCCAAATGTCTCTCATACTGATATTTGATCTCTAACAGCTCTTGGTAACGCTGGCACTCTTCCTCCGTCAGGCCCGGCATCATCATGGTCATTGTCAGAGGCTGGTGATGGTGGTGGTAATGCTGCAGGTTGGACATGAGGTGTAACATCAGATAGAGCTCATTAACTATGATGGTGTGTAACCACAAATACATGTACTGACAATCAGCTTTTTTATTCATGATAAATATGAATAATGATTTCATATTTTCTGAGGATACCCAAAATACAAAGTCTGGGTTTGGGTCCTTTCAGTGCAAAATAATCTACCAGAAACATTTATTAGTATGTTTTTAAATACTAAATCAATGGTGTATCCAATGACAGATCTCAGGAAATGTTGGTGAGATGTGTTACATGTAGTTTGTCAGCTGCTTCACAACTTAAATGTCAGAGAAATGCTTCAGATGTTTCTGACATGACAGATAGAATTCCCTTCATAGCTGCATTATGGTTGGTAACAGAGTACCATTATATCTGACAAGCACTGGTAGGTGTTTGCTTTTGCATTCCCATTTCAGTGGAAGTGTTGGTCCCATGGCTTGTTGCTATGAAACAACTCAAGAGTACCACTTCAGATAACAGCTTTGAGGGTTTCCTGGTGCAGCATCACAGCTGAGCATGCAGTACATCCCACAGAGAATCTGCCTGCATTATTAGGGACATCTTAAAGAAACATTTTATTATTCTGCAGTTTTTATAAATCTGTTTTCTTCCGCTTATACAACTCGGGGCCCAGCATAGAGTGAGAGCACATCCTGGACAGGTTACCAGTCTGTCACAGAGTAGTCAGCCATTCACACTCACATGTTACACACATTCTTGACACATACAGTCAGTTTAAAATGAAACTAGTTAACCTAAACCCCAAAATGACTTTGCACTGTTGGAAACAACACACAGACTGGATTTGAACCCAGGACGTCCTTGCTGTAAGGCAAAAGTAACTGCTGTACCTCCATGCTGCTCATTTCATAATGCACCATAGAAATCCCAAAGCCAACAGTGCAGGAGTCCATCAGAGTACTCTGATCCATGTCAGTGGTACTCAGTTTCAAGCCCATTCTTTCCTGCAGAAGTATTTTACAAACACCTGACAAATGATCGTGGTCTCCAGGGTAAGACAAACCGTCTGTGGCTGCACAGTTGTGCTGATGTATGTGACTGTTTTCAGACAAAGTGGATAGTACCAGGTTTGGAGCTTTTTATTTATTGACAATAAGTCAACAACATGATCACCTAATAGGATTTGAACTTAGTATACCTTATGGTGGTGATGGTGGTGAGGACTGTACGCTGCTGCTGCTGTTCCTCCTCCAGCTCCCCAGTCCAGACCTGGGAGAGAGTCAGAGCTGAGCTGGAGATCGCGCAGGTGGAGGAAAGGAGGGGTGACGTCTCCTCGACCATGCCCAGGGCTGGGACCGAGGCCAGGACTAGGTCTAGGACTTGGCCTGGGTACAGAAATATGAGCATGGCAGAAAAACACTTAAACTCAAACTGTAGCTTGTGAGTTTGTCATTTTTTTCTTAATAATTTGAATAAACTTTCTTTCTCTGGTACCTGGGGCTGGGTCCAGGTCTGAACTTCCTGGTGCTGCCTGGTGTGTTGGTGGTGTTGGTGTTACAGGCACTGGTCTGATCACCCAGCAGGTCATGTTCAGATGTATCCTCATAGCGGGTGCTGTCATCTGTCCGACCCACCCCGCTGTCCAGCTCCTGGCTGTTGGACAGCAGAGGTGCCAAGTTCAGCAGAGGAGGGAGGGGGACCGGTGGCTCTTTGTCGTCCTTCTCTCCTCGCTCGCCGTCCTCTCCTTCTTCATCCTCTTCATCTTCCACCTCACCGTCTCTGCCTCCCCCTGCTCCTCCTAAAGGAAAGGATGACCTGCCTTCTCCTCCTTGGTGGAGGCGGTAGTAGCCAGTATTATGAGAGGAGTTGAGAGAGCATGAAATGTGTGGGTTTGAAGGAAAGTCTGCTCCCTCTAGAGTCAGTTCCATGTCCTCCTCTGGATCGATGGGGTTTTCATTCTGGAAGCAAAGACACAAGCCAGTCCAGGTGAAAATGAACTAAAAAGGTCAAGAGCCATGCTGCAGCGAGACAAATCCTTTTGTAACAGTTTCTCAGGTTAGGCAACGATTTTCAGCACAGAGTTAGCTCAGTGTGCAGACTGTAGCTGAGGGTTAACAGGAGCTGCACAGCGTCACACATCACTGAGTACAGAGAGCTAAAAGTTACATTTCCCCACTAGTGTCAGTACAACAGAGTAGAAACGTGCTGCCAGCTCCATTCTTGGGTTATAATGGGAGTATTCTGTGGGAGCTGCTGTAACAGGTTTGTTGTTGACAAGAAAAATGAATTCATGTGACTTTAATGTGCTTTATTGACGCTGCAGATTTCTTATTAGAGAGCTCATGCATCAGTGTTTCCTTATGAAATTGATTTTTTGACTTTGACTAATGTCAACATTGTACTGTCGTCTGTTAAAATCTGCACACGGTACTGATTTGTTGAGTGTGTGTGTGTGTGCGTGTGTGTGTGTGTTTAAACCCTCACGCTTTCAGAGGCTTGGTTGTTTTGTCACTGTCTACATAAATTCTCATTGTTAGCTAAAAACTATTAAATGAACACTGAAATGTGTTGTGGCCCAGCGACTTACTCAAAACCCACAGAAAGCAGCTGGTTAGGAAGGCCACCTGAAGATGGTAAATATTTATAATGAGAGATATTTCAGAGCTCCTAAAGTCTAAAAATGTATTTTATGTGATTGGACTGAAGAGGGTCTAATCCACTATGAGCCTTTATTTACAAGAGCTTGGACTTTTTGTGAGCATCTTGACAGAAGGAATATTTCACCTTCATTTTCCTCTGTTGATCCATTTCTTCCCTTTTCAGCTCTGAAACCCACTTTTTTCCCCTCCTGTGGCATTTTACGAGTTTTTATAGGGATTTTCTTTGTTTTTATCATTTATTTTTATCTTTTTATTGATTTATTGATTTATTTTTATTCATTTTAAGAGGTGTGTTCATCTACTATTCTTTGTTTTATACAGTCATTATAAAAAGCTTTCATATTTGCACTGATGCCTGCGGCGTGTGACAGAGGCAAGAGGTAAACAACCCCCCAACCGCAAGAAAGGGAAGGGCAAGAAACGGAAGGCCAAACCCAGCATCCAGATGTTTTATTCTGATTAGACAGATGGGTGTCAGAACTAAAGCAGCCATAGTTTGTCCATTGAATAAAAGAAAGTATTGCTTAGAATTTTCCAGAAAGATGAATCTTGTGTTTTGATCGTCTCTTTTCTTTGTCATATAAACTGGAGTCGGCTGTTATCAGTGGCTTTCTTAAACCTCACTCTGAACTTCCAACACTTTGATCTTGTAGGTTTGTTGGACATGTGATCGTTTGTGCTGACAGCGTGTTGATGTTTATTCCACAGTAGGAAGTGCGAAACAGGATGTTTGTGGATTCTAATGTTTTTATTGTTACGTATGCTTTTTACATGATTTCACACACGAGTTACATGATGGTGGAATGAACTGCTGCATGCATGATATATGCAAAACATAAACGAAGACATGCAGATGTCATAAATGTGTGTGTTGGTAACTGAGTGACGGCTCACTCGTCTGGTTGATGTGAGTACACACACACACACACTCTGTGAACATCATCCATAAGTATGTATGTGCAGGTGTGTTTGAGCTGACATGTGTGAATGTGGTGGGCTGCTGTTCTTCCTCTGTCAGCAGATATGGACACACTGTGGGACCTGCTGTCATCCCAGAGACATTTATCATGGCAGTGTGTGTGTGTGTGTGTGTGTGTGTGTGTGTGTGTGTGTGTGTGTGTGTGTGTGTGTGTGTGTGTGTGTGT